AACTTCTACAATCTCTTCATTTAATTGTATATCATCCTGTATTTATTCGCATTTCATCGTGCGTTCATTTAATTTAGCAAGTGAAGGGTCACATTCTGCACAAATATTATTGTTCTAACACAAAATACACCCAAATGAACATTATAATTAACATTGGTAACAACCATCAAATTGTATATCATTTCCATCATCACATTATTCAAACCCAACTATCACTATTGAATCTCCACAGATAGATGTACATACTCCATTAACCAATTCAAATGGATGTCTGCAAAATTCACATTGATTGTATGTAAGGCATGATATGCAATTGTCTTAGCATAATTATACACAATCATTACAATAACTATCATCATTATTGTCGCATTATTCAATTGATAATATTGCCAACAGATTGTCATTACAAACTTATTCACACATATTACTAATTAATTACCATCCATCTTAACATTAAAAACATAATTAATTAACACATAACTTACATTCTATTTGGCAACTATTGTTGCACTTATAACAACCATCAAATTTTTCAATATTGCCATCATCGCACTCTTCACTATCCAGAGTCAAAGCATCCCCACAAACAGGATAACAATATTAGGATTTTAGCTTGTAACCAAATTAACATTAAATGCATCTTCCAAATTCACATATTTTACAATTTTTTGCACACTAAAATTTGCAATTGAAACAACCATCAAAGGGACTTAAATTTCCATCATCGCATTCTTCAGTTCCATATATTAAATTATCTCCACAAATTGGTTTACACTAATTACTTAAATCTTAAATATTCCATCCCTCAAAACATTTCAAACATTACCCATCTTTAAAATATGAGCATCCAGGAATTAAGGATTATTAATCGAAAATTTGTTGAAATTGATAAATCATCTCTATGTATACTCATCTAGTAATTCCCAATTTCCTTCATTTTCAGCCCTTCTCCAACTTTGAAAAAGACTGAAGCAATATTACCCTTGAATCCTGAGTATAATTAGTCTTTGCCTACTTAAATGAAGTACTGAGGTACTTGGAAGTGCTTGATGTTTTCATTATTCTTTTTTTTCTGCCGATTCTTTCCATTGAATTGAAGCAGTTGCTTTTTTCTAAGGCCTTGAATATCCAAATTAAACAAAGTACCATTCGGTGTGTCTATTTTGATGATGAATGTTTTAAACTACATTTGCATTTCCAGAACCTTCCAAATGAGTATATGTATAAGTTGCAAGATGAATGATACCTCCACTCGATTGTCCAACCCAGGCAGCAAATGTTCTATCTCCAAGTGCTAAATCATGTGATGGCTATTAGATTTTGACTCTGAGAATGATATGCCATTCTTTTTGTTATTCTGGTACTTCCCATTTGAACCATCCACTTAATGCATATTCCTGTGGGAACTAGGGATTATTTGATATTCCTACAATAGAATCAACTTCTTTTGTATCAGGATCCCTGTTTTATAAATTTGAGACTAATTTATAAGTGATTAATTCAGGGATCAAATCAATTGGTGATTTTATATTATTACAACTCACTAAAAGAATTAAGGAAAACACCTGGTTCGGTACTGAAATAGATTTAATTGAATAAACCATTAAACCCAGAATATCTATTATTATCCTTGCCTCCAACAGTAAATCTGACAGAATTTGTTGATGGATTCTGAACTTCATAAGTAACTGTTTAAAAATCTCCACTCCCAAATTTGATAAACTCAAAAGCTTTCTTTTACTCAGCACTGTATGAATAATAAATATAAGTCCAAATACCATCAAAATCTTCAGGATAATTAACTTTATTAGCTATATTAGAGTTCGAATTTGCTTCATCGCAAGTTGCGAAATAATAATATCCTTTACCCACTAAAACAGTTTACATTCTACTTTCCATGGCTTTACTCTGATTTAAATAATCTGCACTCAATCTTGAAACAAAATAATACTCTTCATTCTTTCCATTAGTTAAGAATTTAGGATATGCCAATAAAAATTTAGCCCAATATCCATAACCATATTCTTTGAAATTTGATGAATTTTCTCTTTTTTCCTCATAAACAGGATTTAGATTATCAAATTCTGCTTGTTTCATTTAGTTTGAAGAATCTGGATTATCTCCTTGTAGAATTCTATAAGATTGTTTTAATTAGATTGATTAATTTGCCTAGCTAGGTTCTTGAGTTTTATCCTATCCCCAACA